GGAGGCCGGACCTGCCTGGACGCTGGAACCCCCGCTCTGGGTCCGGGTGACGAGCCCGAGTCCCAGGCGGGGTCTCCGCCTTTCACAGGAACCAAGCACCGGTCCTGGGTGACCCTCCAGGACTACCGCAGTCCCTGAAGTTCCTCACGACGCACCTGGAAATCGTGCTCGAAACTGGACCATTCCGACACCAAGAAAAATGAAAAACCAATCGACGCGGCCTCAGCGGCCTTTTACCGCTGGGGAAATCTACGCAACCCCTGAAGGCGGTCCGCGCTTTGCGTGCGTGTCCCCAGCTGCCTTTGCACTTGGCGGATGTTTTTAGACCGGGGACACCCAGATTCGATCAGACCAGAGCTAATTTTGAGAAACGGACCCCTTCTGTGCTAATTGCCCGTCGCGTTCCTGCTGGCCTGCTCATTCCGACACCCGCACATCCGGGCTGGCGGGAGTCTGCTGGGGAAGGTCCTGAGTGAGAAGCCCACTCGACATGAGACGCAGCTTCCCGCCGGCTCTCAGGGCCTGGGTTTCCTCCTCTGCAAAATGAGGCTCAGTTTTCCTTCCGTTTCATCTTGGAAGGTGACACAGCCCAGAGCGCAGCTGTGGAGCCAGATAGCCTGGACCTGCAGCCCGGGTCCCACGGTCACGCGGCTGGGACACGGCGGTGTTGGAGTCATGTAATCTTCAGCACAGCTGCTGCCCACCCCGGCGACAGGATGTGACATCACAGACTGAGGGTGCGCCTGTGACCTGACCCCAACGTCCCATCTTTCCGGGGCTGACTCAGTGGAGGGAGATGGGAGATGGGGCTCTCTACCCCCCACCCCTGTGATGCTCGCTGCAGGGATGTGAGCCCCCGTGCTGGGCGGGGTCACACCAGCAGCCAGATCCGTGGCTCAGGCCCCCTCGAGGCCAGGTCCTCCTGTGCTTTCTAAGGCTTGCTCCCTAAGCCAAACCTTTTCCGCTTGAAACAATGCCAGCTGGGTCTCTGTCACCACACGATCCCACTCAGAGCTGAGACGTTCCCTCCACTCAGAAGGAGCAGAGTTTCCTTAAATCCTAACGCAAGGCTCCAGGCCCTGGCCCTCGTCTCGTTTTCTGTTCTCTTTTCTTTTTTCGCGGGGGGACGGGGTTTGTTTGCTGGGCTCTCAGCAATGGCTGTTCGCACATATCTCTGGCGTGGAAAAGCCCTGGGGTGCCCGCTGGTAGGGGGACACCCATGACCAGGGACCCCGGCACTAATGCCCCCCCCATGATTAACGGCTCCACGTCCCCTATCGCGATGCAGCAAAGCTGGGTGGCTTGATCCACTTTGCCGTGTCTCCTGTTTAAAAATAAATGCACCCCGAGAGGAGGCTGGGTCAAGGAGCCGAACTCCCCAGGGCCTTGGATGGCCCTGGTGCTGGTCCTCGACCTGACAAGACAGTGCCGTCCCTGCCGCCTGCGGCCACAGCCAGAGAGGGGCCCGAGACCCGCCTCCGTGTGGCCGGCCGCCTGACCTCACCCCCCCACCGTGTCCCTGAGCTCCAGCCGCTCGAGCTGTGGTCGCATCCTGGGGCTGCAGCCGTGAAGTCCCACAGACCAGAGGCTTCAACGGCAGAAATTTGCCACCTCGCGGTCTGGAGGCTGGAGTCCAAGACCAAGCTGCTGGCAGGGCTGCCTTCTTCCCGGACTTCCTCCTCGGCATGCGGGCGGCCTTCTTCCCCTCCCTCGTCTGCACATGGTCTTCCCTCGACACCGTCTGTGTCCTCGGGTCCCTTTATAAGAACACCGTTCACACGGGACTAGGGCCCACCCCCATGACCTCGCTGCAGCTGGGTCATCTCTGTAAAGACCCTCTCTCCGAACAAGGCCACACCATGACACACTGGAGTTAGGACTCAGTGGACGTGACTCACAGCCTCCTCCCCGCCCCCCACCTCTTGGCCTTCCCGCTCCCTGTTCCCCCAGCCGGTTCCCCATCCTCCCACTAACTCTGAGTCACTCTCCAGCTCAGAATGTAAGCACCAAGCACCGCTTCTGCAGGGCAGCCCCACCCCGACCCCAGGCCACATGCTCTGAGGTTCCTTCAGCCCTGGGCATGGTGGAGGGTCTGGTCTGCCTCCCAACTTCTCTAAGACCTCCCGAGGGTGGGGTCTATGCTAGGCACATGCGAGGCTCTGTTCCCAAGGCCTGCCCCACAAATGTTGGCCGAAGGAACAAAGGAGCGAATAAAGAAATGAATGAATGAATCGCTCACTGCATTTCCCCCTCATTCCTTATAGAAACGAGAGGAACCACAGCCCACCCCCCTGGAGTGGCCTTGGGGGGCCCTGAGCTCTCTCCTGAGCTTCCACTGTGCTTCCGACGTGCTGTCTCCTGACGCGTCTGTCAGGAGGCCGAGCAGGCCTCTCGCACCCATTTTGCAGACAAGAAAGCCAAGGCTGGGGGACAGCGGCCCCTCCCTAGGGTGACAAGGGCACGTGCAGCCCAGTAGCTGGGGGCGCAGGCTTGACGTGGGTCCCAGCTCCTCCACAGACAAGCCGTGGGGCCTTGGGGCAACACGTTCGTCCTCTCTGTCCCTGAGGCCCCTCGCCTGTGAAATGGGACCGCAGCACGCTGCGCCCGGGGCTGCCGTGAGGACGGAGGCGTGGGGAGCGAGCGAGGACGGCGCTGGCTCAGGCGAAGCACTCGGAACGGAGGCCGACAAACCGCGACTCCCGGCCTGGGCTCCCCGCGCAGGCCCCGAGCTCGGCCCTCCCCTGCGGCCTCGCTTAACCCCAGAACCACGGAGCTCAGGCTGCGGCCCCCGCCTTCCTTGATAAGGGCCCTGAGGCTCCGGTCAGCAGGCTCTGGCCTCGGCCTCCAGGTCCCCAGCCATACCCCTCCTGCTGTCCCCAACCAGTGAACGCCACGAGCTAGTGCGAATGCCCGGTGGTCTGGCCCAGACTCTGGCCCAGGACTTTCCGCGGTGAGCACGCCACCCCGGCTGACACCAGCAGAGCAACAAGCCAAGCCGCCCTCTGTGCCTCTTTCCATCAGGTGCATCCAGGGGGTCTGTGTAAGGAGATGACGTGTAATCAAGACAGTCAGCGGCAGCTTAACGATTGTCACCGCACCGTCCTTTGTGCCCAGACCTCTGCTCTGTCAGACTTGCCACGGGGCCACTTGAGAGCGACTTCGTCTCTCTCCCGCAATCAGCACCCCCCCACCCCATCAGCCAAGCCCGGCCAGGGCACACTCACCAGCTGTCCTCCACCCCCAACCAGGAGGGCGAGACCCCAGCAAGGAAAAGCAGCAAGAACTGGGCAAATGGGTATCGGAGAGGCGCCCTGCACCGCAGGGACCGGGCACTGCCCGGCTGCCCCAGCGCGGAACACGATCCCTCTGCGACAGCCCCAAAGGCACAGACCACCCAGGGGGAATCGAAACGAGGAGGCAAAAGCCTTCACACTGAGAACCGCAAAACTCCGCTAAAAGGATTAAAGAAGAAAGACCCGAATAAATGGAAAGACATCAAGTTCATGGGCCGAAAGGCTGAATATTGCTAAAAAGGCGATTCTACCCAAAGCAATCTTCAAATTCAAGGCAATCCCAGTGACAGCTTTTATGGAAAGAGGAAAACCCACCTTAAAATCTGCATGGCATCTCACAAAACACTGAATAGCAAAAGACAATCTTGAAACGGAAGAATAAAGGGGGAGAAACGTACCACGAAGCTGCAGTAGAGGAACAGACACGCAGACCGCCCGACGCGAACGGAGCCCGGAAACGAGCCCACTGGCGACGGCCAACTGATTTTCAGCGAGGGGACCAAGCTCATTCGATGGAGATAAACGGTGGACAGCAAGAGCGAGATGAGTTGGGGGGGCGGGTCTCAGTACCCCATCAATGCCACCAGGCCTGGGCCAGCTCTAGGGAAGGGCCACTCCGCTGGCTCCTGTCCCAGCCTGGTACCTGGCCTCGCGGGAGCTCGCATGGATGGATGAAAGACCAGAAGAGCAATCAATGAACGACAAAGAACAAAGGAGAGTTGAGAAGCCAGGCGGGAGCCTTACACACCAGACCCAATAATAATATCCCTCAAAAGTACTTGGGCCCCCTCGACACCCACCGATGCGTGTCGCCTCCTTGCGTCTCTAAGAGCAACATTTTGAAACTATTGCCTTGACCCGCTGGGTCACAGAATCGGTGACTGTGACTAGCATATGACTCCGACGAAATGGAACAGAACAGAAAAGGTCAGTGCGCTTCACTCACGGGACAATATTAACTCATGAAACTTTTAAGAGAGATACATGATAGATAGATAGGAATAAATGTATCCTTGAACCAGCGTTTCTAAGCAAAATGTCTTTTTTACCATGGGTCATGGTAAAATAAGTAAATAAATATATATATATATATAAATAAATAAGTTTGTTTAACAGCCACTGTCTCAGCTCCAAGGTTCCTGACCATTTGTTGACCCTTTAAGAACCTGATCAGAGTCTGTTTCCTAAGCACACAAGGTCAGGTGAAACTGGGTACGCGATTTCTGGGAGTCCCCATTCTTACTTGCCCAATGCGGACAATATCATGGCTGCCTGTGCACAGTGCCAAGCCCAACCCCCAGGCAGTGCCAGGCCCAGGCAGTGCCTGCCATGGGACAGCTGCCACAGAAAGATGAGGAGGAAGACTCAACATTCCCATCGGTCCCTACTCCCCAGCCTCACCCCCAGGTTAAAGACCCACCTTGCAAACTGCAAGAATACTGATTTACAGCTGGAGGGAACGCCCGACCGACCGGAACTCACATTCCATACAATTCGTCCTTTTCAAATGTGCAATTCAATGATTTTCGGCATGTTCACGGGTCATGGGACCATCAACATCGTCAAATTGGGAATATTTTCATCACCCTCAAAAAGAAACTGTTGCCCATCAACAGTCACGTCCCACCCCTCCTCCCCACAGCCCCCCGCGACCACTAATGTACTCTCTGTCCCTGCAGACTTGACTGTTTTGAACGTTCCACTCACTGGAATTCGATACTATGTCTCCTTTTGTGTCTGGCTTCTTTCACGAATCATAATGTCCCCCAGGCTGATCCGCGTGGCAGCACATATTGGCACTTTGTTCCTTTTCCTTGCCAAATAGTATTCCATTGCGTGGACAGGCCGCATTGTGTTTATCCATTCATCCGTTGATGGACATTTGGGTTGTTCCTACTTCGAGGCAATTACGAATGATGAGCAGAGAGTGTTGGCATAAATCTTAAAGACACACAAATCTCCTTCGGCGACAGCACTCACACCCTGGTTCTGATCAAGCCGGCTCGGTGTTTACAAAAAAGACATTCTTTTTTTTTCTCCAAGAGCTCTCCTAAACAAGACAATTAGGAGTAGCCTACAAGCAGGGCTCTGAGAAAGAAAAACTAAATAACGATTGTAGAAACATGTCCTTGCAATGAGGCCCAGGGAAAAAAATAAAATAAAATAAATGCCCAGCTGCACACAATAAGATTGAAAATCCGGTACGCTGCTCCAACAAAATTTCAAATCATTAAAGTCTCATTATACTAATAATATGTTTTCTAGACAGACTTTGCAAAAACGCTCTCTTCCCTCTAAAAAGTGGACATTCTCAGAAGCAGCAGTGCTATGGAAGATGATGGGGCACAGATCCCAGGGCACCATGTCACCCCAGCCCATGTCTGCAAATGCTTGCGGCCTGGACCTGACCAGCCGGCAGGCAGCAATTACAGAGGACGTAAGGGAAGAGTCTATGTAGCTCCGTCCCTTCACCAGCGGCCTGTCCCCTGGTCTTCTGTCCCTGCAGCTCTTCTCTGTTTGATGGGTAAAGTGGGGACCGGCAATAGTCGTCATAACGATGATAAGAACGCTGGCTAACAGCGATGGAGGGCGTTTTACTTGTCTAGCCCAAGCTCTTCCCCGATACTTTATTATTAAAATGTTCAAAAGTATAGGACCACGTGAAGACGTCAACAGTGAACACCTGGACACCCCCCACCTGTGGTCCACCGCCGACGTCCTTCTATGCTCATTTCATCACGTATCCATCCATCCCTCCCTCTATCCAGCAGCCCACCTGTCTGCATTTCCTACGGCCGCCATAACAAATCACCATGAATTCAGTGGCTTAAAAAAAAACAACCCTACAAATGTATTATCTTACAGTTTCGGAAGTCAGAAGTCCAACACGGGTTTCGCTAGCTCAAATCAAGGTGTCGGCAGGCCGCGTTCCTTCCCGGGGCTCAGGGAGAACGTCGCTTTGCTTTTCCAGGCACCCACGTTCCTCGGCTTGCATCCCTGCATCGCTCCAGCCTGTTCCATGCACGGACAGATAATCCGGGATAAGCGCCTCCTCTCAAGAGCCTTAACTTCAGCGAAGCCCTTGGGCCACGTAAGGTGATGCGTTCTCAGGCCCCGGACACTGGACCATGGACACCTTTGGGCGCCACGATTCAGCTCACCGTACCGTAACCTCAATTTTTTACACATTTCAAAGTAAGTTGCAGACGGGGGCACCTTTCTACCTTTCTTTCCCCCTATACATCTGAATAACCAGAGTTCAGTCTTTACTTATAGTTCTTTTTTTTTTTAATTTCTCAGTTAAAATTTGCATGCAAATGAAATGCATATTCTTAGTGCCCGTTTTGACAGACTCATGCATCTGTGGATCTCAAACCCCTGTCAAGACAGAGGATGTTTTCAGAGTCAGAAAGTTCTGTTCTATTCCTCCCTGTCAAGTTCCATCTCCACCCCAGAAGCAACAACCATAGATCAGTTTCAACCATCGCCCGACTGCGTATAAATGGAATTGTACAGTGTGCGTTGGGGTCGGGCCGCTCTGCTAGGCAGAGGGGTTTTGAGTCACCTTGTTGTCGTATGTGTCAGTACTTCAGCCCTTCTTCCTGCCTGCTACCTTTCTGTCCCGTGAATATTCCCCTGACCCTTTCTCCGTCGTCTGTATACGGACGCTGAGCCGTTTCCAGGTTTTAACTATTACGAACGAAGCCACTATGAACATTCCAGTATAAGTCTTCTCATGGTCACGGGTTTCCATTTCCCTGGAGTAAATACATCGGGATTGCTGGATTATGGTGGGGGTGGGGTGCGCGTCTAGTTCTTAAAGCCATTCCCAAACTGACTTCCTGCGAGACGACAGCACCGTAGACACGCACCCCAACGTGTTCCGCACCTCGCCAAGTCTTGGTGTGATCATTTTAGCCGTTCTGCTAGGTGTGGAGTGTGTGGCCTCTGGTTCCCATGTGTGGTTCATTTCCTGAGTGACTAATGATTCTGAGCTGCGTGCTGGCCATTCGTACATCTTCTTGGCTGAAGTGTCTGTTCAACCTTTTATCTATTCTTTTATTAGGTTGTCCGTCTTTTTATTACCGAGTTGGAGGAGTTCTTTACACATCCTGGACACCAGTCCTTTATCAGACATGTGTTTTGGGAATTGCAATGGTTGGGATTTATAATAAGAAATATATAGATTTGGTCTCGATCCCAGTTCCTGGCCTAGAGAGTGGTAAAGGTGTCTTTTGTTATGTTAACGAGGTGACTTCTGGAAAAAAACCAATGTAACCTAAGGAGGGAGGCTGGTTGCCAGGGAAACCAATAGGTGCTTAGAGAGTTGGTACTTTCCTCCCACCCTAGGACCTGGGGTGGAGGGTGGGACGGCGAATTGAGTTCGATCTCCAATGGCCAGTAGTTTAATCAATCAGCCTCTCCAATGAAGCCTCCATCAAAACCGGAAAGGCCAGGTTCAGAGAGCGTCCTGGTTGGCGAGCACGTGCAGACGCAGAGAGAGAGCCAGTCCCCTCCCCCACACCGTGCCGATGCAGCTCTTCCATCTGCCTATTCCTGAGTGCATCCTTTATCATAAACTGGTCATCTAGTAAGTAAAATGTGTCTCTGAGTTCTGTGAGCCATTCTAGCAAATTAATCAAACCCGAGGAGGAGGAGGTGGGTACCGCTAACTGATAGCCTTTCGGTCAGAAGCACCTGGCTTGTGATCGGCGTCTGAAGCAAGGGGCTGTCTTGCGGGACCGGGCCCTTAACGTGTGGGATCGGACGCCGTCTCCGGGTAGATGGTGTCAGCATTGAGTTGAATCGTGGGGTCCCCGGCTGGTGTCGGAGAATCGGTGTCAGAACCGTAGCTGGCGATCAGAAGCGGAAGTGGCACCAGAACCATGGGACTCTTTCCTCCCACTCTATGGCTCGGCTGGGCCCTATTTCAATTATATCATTTCATTAAATAACTCACTTAATTCCCCAACAACCCTGCGAGTTGAATACACTTTACAGAAGAGGGACCTAGGGCACAGAGCAGGGACGTACTTCCCCAAGGTCAAAGCCTTAGAAGGCAGCGGGATCGGTCCAGACCCTAGAGTTGGGCCCAAGACTGGCCAGTGGCTGTGACCACTACAGACCGCCTCCTTCTTACTCGGCAAACACACAGAGGCCACCTCGGGTGACCCAAGAGCAGGCCTCATTATCGTCTCCCAAGATGGTGACACGCCAGGCCCGGGGACACCGGCACAGAGCCAGCCACCAGCAGCAGGTACGCACGGGACGCGGTGCTGTGAGTCGGGACAGAGCTGCCCCCACCTGGGGGAGGCCGACACCGAAGGCCACGGGGCAGACGGCTCCAGAATGTGAGGGCCCAAGCTGGGAGGATGGAGGGCCGCTGGCCAGGGGCCGGGCAGGCAGTGCGGTCCAGGGAGGGGCTGGGCCTGGTCCAGCTGTCGCATGAAGCTGCCAGTTCTGCCTTCCTTCTGTTAACGCCAGCCAGCCTGTTTGGCACAAAACGGATCTCGTTTGTCCCCTCCGGGTGCATCTCGAGTGCCAGGAATTGGATTGGCTTTACCAGGAGCCCGCTGGGATGGCTTCTCGTGTTTGAATCACTCTTTCTGTTTAGTGAGGCCGGTGGCAATTGAGTGCCAGACTGCCAGGGCTGATGTCTCAAGCTGCTGGCCACGTGACCTCCTCCTGCAAGAGCCTTCACTCCTCTGGGCCTCGGTTGGTTCCTCTGCAAAATGGGGCCGAGCACGTGGTATCTACTTGCCAGCTTTGCGTGAGGACGAAACGAGGTGGCACGCGGAGTGTTTAGCAGCGTGCCCAGAACGTCACATGTGCCCGACGAGGCTTGGCCGTGAGCGTGACAACTGTAGATTCCGTGTTGTTGTTGTTGTTTTTAATTCTTTTAACTTTATTTTTTTTTTACACTTCTTCTCAGAGGCTCTTCTGTGATGCTCGTATATATCCAATATGGGTTCTCCAAGGCCTTACTTTAAAAGACAATATTACTTTTCAAAAAAAAAGAAAAAGAGAGAAAGATGAAGACGCTTCGAATTACGTTCGGGAAAAAGGTCCCTCGAATTTCATTTACACCAACAATCAATTCCGAACATCTTTAGCGTGGCGATCCCCTCTCCCCAGCCTGCTCAGAGGACTCCATCCACATATTTAAAGCGGTGTCTAGAAGGTTCTAGCGGACTCCGCAAACGCTGAGAGTGGCCAGGTTCGCGCTGACCAGGCAGCCGCTCCCTGGAGGGTTGGATGCCAGCGAGCTCCGTCCCTTTGCCTTTTCAATCACCTGACATTAGCGTAGAACCTAGATCTTTTGGCATTGTAATTTTTCGAATGACAGTATGAAAATGCTTAACGTATTAAAACAAGAGGAGTAAGCTGTTAGGATGGTCTTCCTTGGGGAACCAGTCAGTATTCCTCACCGACTCCGGTGGGCTCGCAAGTAAAGGTTCAAAGACCCAAACTAAGAACAGTCATCCCAAATGCCTAAACTTGAAACTATCTGCGTCTATGGCCATGCCACCCTGAGCACGCCCGATCCCGTCCGATCTCGGAAGTTAAGCAGGGTCGGGCCTGGTTAGTACTTGGATGGGAGACCACCTAGGAGTAAACTATAAAAAAATAAGGGATTGTAAGCTGACAAGGTCCTTGCAATCTGTGAGGTCAACCAAGGGTTGCCTCGCCTAAAAAAAATAATAATAAAAATAAATGATCTGCATGCAAGCCGAAGAAACTGCTTAAGATTGGCTGATGTTCCGACATCTTAGGCTGGCAGGGATGCGCTGTGGGAGACCCAGGTGGCTGACGGCGCCTCCTGACGCCCACCTGAGCCGGCCCCTCACCCCAGGCACACAGCGCCCAGCTCAGAACCCCCCGCTGCTCTGCCAAGGCCGGGCACTTGTCAGTTTTCTGCAGCGCACGCCTCAGATGAGCGTGCACGTGCTTCCTGGTGACAGGGCCAGGGAAGCAGGGTTCCAACGGTCCCCAAATGCGAATATTTTAAAGGATTTAGTTGTTACCCACCATTGACTAGCTGCTCCATCAAACACAACGGGAAAGACGCAGCCAGAGGTGTTGAAACCACACAGGACCAGAGTGAGAGGGGGCTTCTCTTCTGGGGGTGACGGTCACTCAGCCATCAGCCCTCGC